AATTTAGTTATCTTTAAAGTTTTTCTTGTTTATTTAACATGTAAAGATGCATTGACACAACACTTTTGTACAACAGAACATTTTCAAACTTCATTTGACTATAACAATACACATTTCAATTGACAGAAATCATAATATACAGCATGACTTTTGGGTACAATTCAGATTTAGCTTTAGTTTCATACGATGAAAGAACTGCTTGGAAATATATATTCTCAGATAAAACAATGCAATATGCAGACCAATCTATTTAGGTAGTGAAAATCTTTGTCATTTTTCAATTGAGAAGAAATCAACGTAAAACTTCAGACAAGCACTGTTTATATAAGTAGAGAAAAAAGGTTTTCTGAAACATGAAGAAAGTAGTGTAAAATAGATATAACTTTTTGAAAGAGTGCTTCCTTTGAACTATAAAGGCTTTTTCTCAGACCTTGCCCTAAATTACGTGAAAAGCTGCTTTGAAGTCACATACAAAGGACAGGGTTCGTACAGATTTTTACATATAAAATTCAAGGACTTTTCAAGGACTTTTTAAGGATTAATTTTCAATTTTCAAGGACACCAATCACAAAGAGAAAGATACAGTTAATAAACTTACTAGTCGTGTGTCTTACCAAACAGAACAATAGAAACATTGTAGTGTTAATGCGAAATCGTTAAGTAGATCGTTTATGTAATGTTTTGTTTAGTACGTTCTTGTTGTGTCCCTTGAGAGTTGTAAATGTCTTAAAGTCTTTCGTTTTTGCATATTCGTTCTCTTTAATCGTCTACCGCAATAGAGCACAAGCATATTGTTTTGTAAGTATTCTTTCGTTTCTCTTCCTTCGTTTATAGATTTATAGACTGTTCATCGTTGTAATTTTTGTCTTTGTATATCTAGGAACCGTAATACCGTGATCGTAATACCGTAATGTAACTTATCGATTAATAAATAAAAGGAAACAAGAAACCGACGAGTTCAAACTATGCCATCGATTGGAAGCAAAACGCCATAACATGTAGTCAACTTTGTTTAAGAACTTTATCTCTTGGAACATATTTTTCTCAATCTCTTTTAATTTCTTTACCGCCGTATTGCACAATAGTACAACAGACACTGCCAAAAGGATTGAAATATTATCAATTTGCTTCAAAGCTTGGCAAAATTGATCTCTAAAACAGTACTTCACAACAACCAAGACTGATTCAAGGACTAAATTATCATTTTCAAGGACCTTTCCTGCACATTCAAGGACTTTTCAAGGAAAATTTGCATTTAAGGACTTTTCAAGGACCTAGCTCCAAAATCAAGGACTTTTCAAGACTGTACGAACCCTGAGGGATAAAAATATAAAATGTCTTCTGAAGTGTTTCTGTGAGAAGGTACCTATATAGCATGTAAACACGTGATTAATTATGACGTCAGAGTTCGGAGAAGAAGCGTGCTCGGAAAAATGGCAGCTTTGCAAGTGTAGTTTGTGTTGAGAAATAAAGATTGTTTAATCATTTGGATTACATTTCATTTCCTTGGAGTATGAAATATTTGCCATTACTTCATGACAAGTTTGAAGAAATATCACCCAAAATATTTGGGTGTAGCATGTAAAATGAAATACCCGTACATGAAGCGCTCTTCCCTACAATACATGTAGGCCATTTTGCAGCAAAACACGCGGGTTTCCTTTTAATACTTTTTGCTTTTCGTTTTCAGTAGCTTAATAGTCTCAAAGCTTTTAATATAAACACAAAGCATACTCAACCTTTAATTTTTTGCAGTTATAATTCTCCGAACAGAGTCATTTACGACAAAATGACCCCACAGAAATACGTCCAGTGGCATCTGCAGCCAAGGCTCTGAATAATATCTCAGAGAAGTGCAAAGGTACTTTTAAAAATAATGTAATAATTGATTGATCACCAAGATCAACAAATATAACAATTTGACTTTGTTTTCTTTCTTAATTTAAAGGCAGAAGCAGCTTTACCAAAAAATTAACATGTAGTGATGCTGAAGCAAAGGGGCTGAAAATGTACTCTGACAAAGAAATACGTCAAGCTTCTTCAGAAATGGAAAGACGTTACAGAGAATTCTGGAACGAGAAAGGTAATCAGCTTTGCAGAGAGCCAGCATCCAAGCACAAAAGCAAGAGTGCCCTCCATGGCATCATAGATGTTTCTTGGACTCTACGCAAGACCACTCTACTGGAGACTATGGTAAACATTACAGTCAATGAGGAAAACGCAGTCATGGAGGAGAAACCGGGAAAAGGAAAACAAAAGAAGAACACATTAGAAAAAAATCTGGACAGAATGAAGTCTGCGCATGCTGAGGTTGTGTCACTGGATGAAGAGCTTATCCAGTTGAAGAAGGATAAGAATAGCAACAGAGCCCAGGCCACAACAAAAACTCTTGTTGATGGTGCGTACACCAATCTCAAAAGGGCCCAAGAAGCTCTTTCAAAAAGTATTAAGCAAAGGAGAAGACAGATTGAGCAAGAGTTGAATAAAGCAAAACATGCAAATGATGATGTGAACAACCCTCAAGGATGTTAAGGCCAGGTCAAGGTCAAAATATGATGCAAACTTTGAAAATTGAAGGGGCGGATGCGAAAACGGCGTAAGTGACGATTTAGGGTATTTTTGAAATTTTAGAAAAATTGACAAAAAATCGCTTCAATCATTTGTTTCTGGTCTAAATAATCATGTTTGCTAGTTATTTCTCGTGATTTCCTTTTAAAAATCGGAAAAAAAGTCGACATTTACTTACAGACTGTACCCTCCCCTCCCCCAAACTTTAGCGGCATAGGGTTAGTTCCAGCCTTATGCAAGAGTTAGGGTTCCTATAGCCTAAGACAGGGGCTAGGGTTGCTTGATTTAGGGTTAGGGTTAGAATAGTTAGGGTTTAGGGTAGGGTAGGGTTAACGTTAGCTAAGCGTTAGGCTCTAAAACCTGAGTTTGTAAAGCAAACAAACTCCCCCCCCCTCCCCCCCGAGTCCACATGACGACTTCATGACCGACAAAGTGTGTAATTTATTCTAAACCCGAGTTCACTCGGGTTTAGAATAAATTATAAGTTTCTAAGTAATGTTTTCCATATATAGAATGAATTCTACCAAGAAAAAATGTTGTTTTTGTGAATACAACACATGATTANCTTTACAATACCTTCCCAATTAAATTTTGAAAGGGAATCATATGAGGAAGTATCTTTTCTTTTTATCAAAGTAGACACAAACCCATGCTTAGTATTGTTCATGCCATTAATCTGTTCTCTTTCTTCTTTAACCACTTGATGTATAGCAATATTTTTAAACTTAGCATTTCCCATACAGGCTTTAACAAATTCTTGACATCCAAACTGCAAACTGTACAAAAATTGTTGTTGTTCTATAGTTGTAAAATGGATGCTTCCATCTTTGGCTGTACTTAGAGTTTCCAGAATTTCACTTGAAGTGGAAGTGGACTTTATTTCTGACTTTTTGCATCTTGTTGTTGCACCAATAAAGTAAGAATGTTCTTGTAGGATAGCATCACCATTCATCTAAACACATGTAAAGAAATCATTTCATGAAACCAAATTATTGTATTTCACAGCTTACCAATTTGTATTGGTGGAAAAAACAAATGTGCACAGACATTTAGTTATGCAAAGCAATAAGTTTGACTTACCTTCTCATTACAACTGCTTTCTTCAAATCTTTTTGCCAGACAAGTTGCTGCCATTGAATTCTTGCTCTTCTTTTTTTGTTGGATTGCCTTTTATGGTCAAAAAAGTGCAAACATTTCATGACATGGATTATTTTTTATGCAATTATAACAAAATTCATGCTCACTGTTTCTTCAGAATTACATGTTTGGGGTGTTGTCTTAGAAGCTGGTGATATATTCTCATTACAACTGCTTTCTTCAAATCTTTTTGCCAAACAAGTTGTTGCCATTGAATTCTTGCTCTTCTTTTCTTGTTGGACTTCCTATATAGATTGTGGTCAAACAAGTGCAAATCTTTCTATATGACATGGATTATTTTTTGTGGAATAATAAAATTTGTGCTCACTTTTTCTGCAGTATTTATACACCTTTGGGGTGTTGTCCTGGAAGCTGGTGATGCTCTCAACCTCTTTGCTCCTTCCTTTTTATCAATAGTGCATTTTAGTAAGAAAAATCCCCCCCCCCTCCCCATTAAGAATCCAAAAGGGAGACTTGTAAATTGGGTGGCAAACCAGCAAGGCTTGCCGTACACCTCAACGTTTTATAATTTAAAATTATAAATAATAGGTTAANTTTAGAAAACGGGCTTTTATTGGTGGCTTTTTTTAATCTGCAAATGGTTATTGGTGGCTTTTTTTCTATTATTGTGATCGGAGGAACAAAAGGAAAGCGAAGTGAAAATGGCTGTGATTGGTCTATTAGTGACAAATCCTCACTTATGATTGGTCGAGGAAAGTGAGAACAGCGCTGAGTTTTGCCCCGTCCGAACCAGCTCAATCTTCTCTGTATCGATCAGCCAATCATATTATAAGGATTGCCTGAATTGAAGTGAACAGTCCTCTCTGATCTCTACCTATCGTATAAACAAACTTTTACCTAGTCTCTGAGCATTGATTGAGAACGTATCTAGACAAATAAAAGTGACCAAATAGCGAGTATTTCTCTTTGCAGTATAATCTTCCAATGTCGTGCTTTATTAAATCTCGTAGTTGGTATCACTTGTTTATCATCTCAAATTTATCCTATTTATTGTTGCTTCCCTTTGTTGTTGTTGTTTTTTCTTATGTTGTTCTACAGTGCCAAGGCCAAAAAAGGATGAATTTATCAATAAACTGCAAAAAATTTAATGTAAATTCAAAAATCTAAAATCTAAAAAATGAAATAAAAAAATGAAAAATTGAAAAATAAATGTGAATCTAACAAACTTGAGTTGTGATTATTACATTAGAGTGCTTGCACTTAAAGCGTGAAACAAATAGTACTAATTACTACTAAATAGTGTTGATGATACAATAGGAAACAAAGGAATCTGTATAATTTATCACCTATTTTATAGTATTTATATTTCATGCATTTAGTGCGAGCACTCTATTAAATTAAAACATTAAAAATTGTGCAAAATTAAACATATGCAAAAAATAATAGAAATATAGCCAGTGTTATTTACACTTTTATAATATGATGGTTGAATAAAATTGTGCAATAAAGTGGCATTTATCCTTAATAGTGGTTTCAAATTGCACAATTTTATTCAACCATATTATAAACAAATAATAGCATGTTTTGTACGTGGAATTTGGGATCAATACTACTTGTGAAAGTATTTCAGGTCACAAATTTCACTCGCTTTGCTCTCGAAATTTTGTTTCAATCAATCAATCAATCAAAAAAATTTGAAATATCAAGCGTGGTATTTATCCCAAATACCACTGCAAACATGCTATTACCTATGCAAATACACATGGTTGGGAACAAGGGCATTATTATTGTCTTCAGTTGAGAGTAGCTTTGCAATGAAATCATTTGCAAATAATTTTGATATATTTACAGTGAGGACACTATACCATTTGTGAACAATACTGTGCTTTTGTAGTCCCTTTTATGATTAATAACTTAGGTTCTTTATCATTATTCTAGTAGTATATTTGAGCTCAGTCCTAATGTTTTAGATGTTATAAAGCATTAGAAAGTTCAGAAAATAAGATTAAAGCCAAGTTTTCATACTGAGTGTCTCCAACTAGGCCTCAATCAGCATTAAGAAATAAAAAATATTTTTATGTTAGCTTTTCCTCCATCAAAGRGAAACTTCAATTCATCCTCAAATTTGACTGCTGAGGTTAGTTACTGATTTGGTTTTCTTCCTTGAATTTATCAAAACAAAGTTAAATCAGCTCAACTTGCAGTGTAGTACAATGTACGGGAGGTGTCTAAGAACCCTGGGGGGTATGGTTTTTGGACATGCTTGTCTTAAACAGGGTATACATTTCACCCAAATTGTCTTAAACAGCATCTACAATTAAGATAAAATACCAATATAATTTTTTTTCTGTGTCTTGGACAGGATTTTCATAAGAAATACCATTTCACTACTGTAGCAGGATTAGCGTGTTATCAAAAATTTACTTATTGTCTTTGATGGATGTCAGTATAATTGCAGTTTTGATGGTTGCAGCATAGATAGCGATTCCATATTTTTCTGATTTGTCTTGAACAGGGTATGGATTTTTACTTTCTAGTGTCTTAAACAGGGTAAGGGTTTTAGACCGCTGGCGGCACGTCTATCCAAAATGGGGTCGAGTACATCCCCCCTCCCCCCACCCCCTCCCCTGGAACAACTAAGATAAAAAATTGCCATAGTGTGATAGCAGTGTTTCTTTTTACAGCTGCTTTATTTCTTTATCACTTCTAGGAGTGTGCCTCATACCACTTTAGCTGGGACAAACTTACTTGCTAGCTGGAATTAAAGGACATTAGGCAGTGGTTCAACTTCAACTGAAAGGTACAAAGCAACACGCACAAAAAAAAACAAGCAAAAAAAAACAAGCACCCGAGAGATTTGAAGAAGATTAAGTGCGGTGAAGGTGCCTTCTTAAAGTGAGATTGACTGTGATTGTTCAACAAAGTGAAATGAAGTGAGCAATGCTTACTTGACTTGTGATTGGCTAAAGAGAGATTAGCGCGGGGCTAAGGGGCGCAATCTTCTTCGCAATCTGTTGGAAATCCGGCACAGTACGCCCGCGCCGGCAAGTCAGGCCGTAACCAAAGGGGATTCCCATAACACAGCACAGGAATCCCGAAAAGTATAAAAACTTTAATTTCTCCTAATTAGCAATACTGTATAATATTCTATAGAAACATAACGTAGCATAACAGAATAGTACGTCTATTCCGTGATTTCGCAATAATAATTGTTAAAATAATCGCACTATCGGAAATCAAAGTAAATAAAATCGCAAACTTGCAATTTATTAGTATAAAATGCTTTAAATAACAAAACAATGTTTACATGTAGTAGCTGTTGTTATGGATAATATAAAAAGAAGAAAAAAAAGAGAAAAGAAAAAAAGAAGGAAAAAAAGGAAAAAAGAGAAAAAATGGGGAAAAAGAAAAAAGGTAAAAAAAGAAAAAAAGGGGAAAAAAAGAAACAAACTTTCCCTCTGCTTTTAAAATCAAGGACTTGGGACCTTCTAGTAACAATACTAGGCAGCATTAAAAGTTTGTTTCTGATGGCATTTCCTCCACCAAACTACCATTCCCAGGAGCTGACTATACTACTGGGGGAGCCGGGTTAGTTAAAGGCCGCCCAGCACCCGGCCACAAAATAAGATATATTTTTTAATTCATTTGATTCTCACATATAAATCTTAAACTAATTAAACTGTTTTGTTCTTCTTATATTTTGGCTCCATCTGTTTTCTCCATTCTTCATAGCTCAATGTTGCTGTATTCTGACAATACCAATTTCCATAAAATTGTCTGTGAGTTGGAGGTTGTCTTGGCTTACCACAGGACCCACATTTTCTACCTGTGTTTTCACGTTTTCTCTTCCTATCTGTTTGTAAACCAGACGAACAAGGCTGTGGTTGTTGTGATGCAAGCATGGGCATCTGCAATGGTACTTGCATAGGCTGCATTGGTTGAAAAAGTACTTGGGGTGAATTGAATGGAACAGGCATCTGTGGCATGTAGGGCATTTGTGGCATGTAGGGCATGTAGGGTGAACATGTCTGAGGTAAAAACTGTTTAGGTCTGATATTTACTGTAGCTGTAGCTGTGGCAGAAGGCTGTTTCTTTTGTTTTCCTTTTTCAGTAACATTCTTGGGCATGTTTTGTGGTATAGGTGATGCCACAGCAGCAGCTGACTTGAGAGTCACTGAAGAGTTAGTCCCTGAATCTAATGTCTTCTTTTTAGTGGCTGTCCTCACTTCCTTTTTCTTAGGCATGATAGGTCTGACTTTCACAGTATCAGTCGCTGGCTGTAGTGATTGTGGCTTTTTAAGTTTTCGCCCTCTTCCCATTCCAGTGGTGYTCTTTGGAATGTTATGAGTAAATGGGAAGGGGAAGTCAACCTCAGGCAGGGATGGAGGTTGTACACCAGCTTCTGGTAGAGTGGCAGATGTAGTACTGGCAGGAGCTAAAGTTATTCCTTGCTTTAATGCATTCACTTCTGCCTTCTTTGCCCGCCTTAAGAACCTAAAAGCAGTAATGTTACAAAACAAAAATAATAAGTAGAACCGACTATTATATTTTAGTATAAACATACTAATGGTCTATCACTCATACTGCGCTGTGATTGGCTACTCTACTAATGGTCTAATATGTGATAGACCACTCACGGGAAAAACAAAATAAATAAATTATAAATTATTTTAAGGGTATTTCAATTTTTTTCATTATTTGGCCGACTAGTATGTTTATACTAAAACAATTAGACCTCTCGGTCTTGTGGACTACGAGCTAATAGCCCATTCGGCCTCGCGGACTCGGCCTCATGGGCTATTAGCTCGTAGTCCACTCGACCTCGAGGTCTAATTGTTAAATATATTAATTTGATTTTTGTGAATAGTTCTTACCATTGCCCTACTGTAGTATGGTTGACTTCCATAAGCTGTATGCTTGTACCTCGCATAACTCTAGCATTGTTAACGATACGGTCTCTGATACCCTTATAACTTTTGCAGATTAAGGACCAGCGCTGTTTGGATTTGCCTTTAATGGTCTCATGTGCAGGATGGATGTCACCAAGCCGTGTCATAATGGCAGTCATGTACCTGTTGCAATCAGGCCATTGAGCTGGCCTAAATCATAGAAGATCTAAATGTTAGATTCTTGTCCATCTAGACAACAACAACAATAAAAATAATAATGGTAAGAATATTTGTGTCAAAAATTATTACCTCTTTAGGCTGTCTAATCCAGGAGTCACGGTGTTCTTTCTCTTTTTTGATGCTTTGAACTTTCCCTTAGTTAAGTTTGTTCTGTGTCTTGGGRAGAATGTTGTTTTCTTGTCCACTTCACGGAGGTTATTCCACAAGCGTATGATTTCATCTGCTTGGGAGTTTGTAAGTGCCATGCTTCCTTGTCTTAAAGATACTAAATAGTCTGCCAGGTCCTGAACTTCCTTGCATCCCTCAATATTATCAGGCCCAACAGGAGCCTAAACATCCAAAAGTTATTATTAAAAATTAAAAAAAATGCATATAGCTGATTGAAAGTGCATAATGAATTTACCTCTGCCTCACGCGATAATTCATCTGACACGTCCTCAGCAGGGCTTTCGTCAGAAGTGCTACTGTCACTTTCTGSAACTATTTAGAAGGAAAACAAMATWAAATAAAATTAATACACATGGCCAGTATTTGTCTTCTAATTATCAACCTACTTTACCTTTATCACTGCCAACGGTCATGTTTTCAACTGACATGGTATAAACCTCCTCAACTATTGCTACAGTGTCATTGTCTTCACTTTCATCAAACCCTTCATCTATCTGATCTGGATCAAAATCTGACAAGGGGACATCTTCTTGGTCTTCTTCCTCATCATAATTATCGTACTTGTTTTCAAGAACTTGCCCTGTCTGTCTGTACAAATAGTCAACTCCAATCCGTTCGCCTGAAAGAGATAATGTAATTCATTAATAACATTCATTCACAAGCTGGAACATACATGTAAAGTAATGTCAAAATGATATGCAAGAAATACCTGTATAGATACCAACTTGTGTGACATTAGGCTGTATTTTCTTTCCCATGACATCCAAACTGAGAYTWTTAATGACATGGTCCAGCTCTCCGCTGTATGTTGTCGGTCCATTTGACACCTTAGACACAGATTTAGCAGCTCGGTCAGCATTCCACCTTGCTAGGCCTTCCAGAAGATAAGCTTGGAAGTGCCAATCACTAGCACTGGTTCCTGGAATAAATCTGTTAATATGTAGGTGGAATGACTTAAGTGATGTGGAATCCCTTGCACATCTGTAGGTTGGCAACACGACATTGCCCTTGGTCAATGTACCCGTCTGCATGTATAGCTTCACTCCCTCTGGGTCTTGGATGCATGGAATGTGATGCTTCTGAGTATTCCAAATCTCCCACACGCGATCATAATCCAATAGTGGAACTCCCGAGCTATCATAGCCATCTTTTTGGTTTGTCATTGTCTCCAAAAGGTTGTATAGGAGTCGAGTTATCTCTGCTTCACTACGCGTTGTCCGTCTGCAATGTAGGGCAAGCTCCCTCTTAGTTATGCTCTCAATAACATCCATGTCTGAGGGGTTTCTTTTGCCTTGAAGTTCCATCTCCGATTTCTTTGCTGACTTTAGGAGCTCCAAGTCTTCTTTGCTCCATTCGAAGATGCATTGAGATATGCGGCTCATGAAAACACCATAGAGTGGATGGGCTTCAGTGTTACAACCAGCAGCAAAGCGTCTCATAAAATGCCATATGTCAAGCCGTATAGTCATATTATCCCAAAGAGAGAACATTTCTTTGGTCTTGATGGATGTCCCTGTGCAACAGTCCCTGTCAACGTAAAGAACTTGAGGAGGGGCCACACCTGCCATGTTGTATCTTCTCATGAGACCATTGGCCATGTCTCCAAGTCCAACACCTTCACTAGCTGTCAAGACACTCATAAGAACTTGACCTTTCTCATTGCCAATGTTTGTGCACCATGTGGCAGTACCTGCAACAACAAAAGTTTGTTCTTTAATACTATATACTTAAATATTGAATGTAATGCACTTAGGGCTTACCTGCACTCTTCCCAGCCAACTTCTTCACTATTTTCTTTGTGGAGTCCATCTTGAGAATATCTCCAAATGTTGAGGTTATTGATGCCTTGATATGGTCGATTCTAGTCTCTATATCTTGAGCATACACAGTAAGTAACCACTTAAATTTGGGGAGCACTTTAAACGGTGGTGGATCTTCAAAGGTAGGGCAGTATATAAGTCTGGCCTTTGACGCATCTTTAAAATATTTGCATTCTGTGAGGTACTGGATTGTCCTCTTCATCCACTTTTCACTGTGCTCTTCTTCCAACTTCTTCTGTAGCTGGGTTGCACTGTTACCAAGGCTTCTCTCTCTTAGCAAAGTAATGACCCTAATATCACAAGCATACTGGTATGTCATTACAATAGGGAATTGAAGTTGATGGCCATGGTCAAGCTGTCTGACAATAAGTGGACTCCAGCTGATTATTTTCTTCTTGCACTCTCTACACTCCAAGTACTCTGCTGCCAGGTTGTAGTAACTATCAATGTCTAACACCTGTCGCACCTTCTGGTAAATTCCAGCACTGGTAAGTTCTTTATTCGTACAGTCTGGTTGTGGGCAAGACAGTTTGACATTCCATAGCTTCCTTGGCATCCACAATAGCAAACGGTGGGCAAAGAACTTATCAGGATTTGGTACTTTATGGCTTATTAGTGCAGGCTGAGGAGGATCCCACCACAACTTATTTACCCTACAGAGATAAACAAAATAAAAAATTGTAAAATTATAAAAAATAGTACTGCATTAGTTATTTAAAATACCTGCTAAAGTCCAATTCTGGCTTGCCAGTCCTAACACTTGTCTTGAATAAGGCTTGAGCTACCCATACATGGTCTTCTTTAGGTAGACTTTTTTGCCAGCCTTCTGGGAGAGAATTTCCTATAAATGAAAATCAATACAAAATGTAAATTGGCACTTTTTGCAATATTGTATGAAGTTGTAATATGTACCTTTATCATATACTTCCGGTCCAAAAGCGGTCTTGCTTGCCTGATCTTGTTTCTGTTCATTGTTTTGTTTCTTTTTAGTGGTGGTTTGCTTAGCTACAGTGGTAGTTGTTGGCTGCGTTATTGTAGCTACAGTGGTAGTTGTTGGCTGCATTGTAGCTACAGTGGTAGTTGTTGGCTGCGTTATTGTAGCTACAGTGGTAGTTGTTGGCTGCATTGTAGCTACAGTGGTAGTTGTTGGCTGCGTT